TTACTGGTTACTGTGTAAGCATGGTGATATAGGAAACAGGATGTTCGTAAGCATTTACACACATTTACATCTATACCAACACTAAATCCCAACCACCAAGTAAGATAACTAGCAGGTTTATTGGATAGGATACAACTTTATACTTTGTACAAAGCCATATCATAAATATTTTCTCTCACTTTTATAAAGTACTTTAGACAATTCTTGTTGCAAACACTGTATTGTAAAGAAGCCGGCAACTTCTATCTCACTGTGTTCTCAGAGCAGTTTCATTTCTGTAGAATACTTCCACTTTGTGACTTATTGGATCGGCCCAGACTTTCTACAAAGTCATAAACATTTTATAATACTTTAGACAATTGTTGTTGTAACCGTCATACTGTCAACAAGTTGATATATCTTATCCCACTGTGTTTTCAAGGCTGGGAAAATTCTGAGAATTGCACCGCACAAACTTATTTGATATTGATGGTGTCAAAGTACTCAAAGTACAGTAACACCTAAACAGGAACGGTGATTCACTGGTTCATGTTCGGCAGGTTTCTACTTCAGCTACTAACAGTAGAATAACAATAGGAAATAGATTAGAAGAAACTCTCAGGAGATTTATTTGGAACTTTACTGTCCGTAATGAAAAGAACAGAGTACTATTCATTTTGTTTCTTCTAATTTGTAAATCATCTACTAGCAATAAAATAACTACAGAAAATAAATGTGAAAAGGTGAGAATGTAAGTTATGACCATACATACTTTGAAATTTTGTAATCACTACTAACAATACTATACAGTTTATTTTGCAACCTTTATTTTCGTTATACTTTGATTACTTACCTACAACTTGGAGAAACAAGTATAATGTTATAATACAAAAAAATAACAAATCAAATATAAAGATTTATTGAAAATAAAAATGTTTGATATTTAATTATGAGGTTATTTTTCATTTGTTTTAACTGTTTATTATTATAGAAGTAGCTAAAAGCATAAAAATAGAAAGTTGTTAGGTAAGATAATGAAAGAAAAATAATAAAAAAAACTTACATGGGTTATACGCGCCAAAAGCTTCTGCATTACGCTGTTCGATAGGGTCATGTCAATGCAGGTGTTCCATGTAATTTCCAACTTCTGTCCGGGTATTTTTTAGTCAGACACAGTTCAAAGGTTAATAAAATAAAAATCAATAAATATAAATAGATTTATACTGTTAAGAGATTTAAGCTATTTAGTTATTCTAGAACAAAAAAGGTAATTTAGATTTATTTCCTAACTTTTATGATGGTAACGAGGTTGGTCAAATTGATCAACACCATATAAAGTAAATATTGATAAAATAACAGATTAAATATAAAGTTTTATTTTAAAAAATGTTTGATGATTATCTAGAAGGATATAGAGATTACACATATGAAATTTGACAAATTTCTGATAAAGAAACGTATTTTTAATCTTAAAATCAAAATTACTTTGTACGTTGAAAGAAAAATTCACTAGCAAATCTTTAAAAAAAAAATCTTAAAACATAATTCAAAAACCAGATATTTTGAGTATGAAATCTATGTAATGTTTACTAATAATCTGCAAAATTTTGTAAAGAATTGCTTACATTTTCAAAAATTATAGTACAATTATAGTCTCATAGATACTTTCCTGGTTACGAGATGGGTGAAATAAATTTTGTCTCCTAACTTGTAAGAATTTACAGTAAGTTATATATTTCACACTTGTATGGTAATATTATTTTTATATAACAAAGTTTAGAATTTTTTTGGATATTCAACATGGTTTTATTAAGGGAAAATCTTGCTTTATAAATCATTTGACATTATTTGAAAAGGTTACTGCTTATGTAGATGAGGATAAGGGTATAGATTTGGTGTATCTGGATTTTCAGAAAGCATTTGACAAGGTGCCACATAAAAAGCTTCTAAAAATCTATCTCTATAGATGTGGGGGATAAGTTAGCTAATTGGATAGAAGAGTGGCTGGATAGAAGAAAGCAGAGGGTTATTGTAAATGGAGTTCATTCAAACTGAATTAATGTCATAACTGGGGTACCTCAGGGCTCAGTCTTAGGACCTTTGCTCATTTTGACTTACATCAATGACATAGATGAAGGAATAGTCAATAAATTAATTAAATTTGCACATGATATTAAGGTACTGGGTGTTGCTAGCTGTTAAGAGGATGATACTGATTTACAAAAGGATTTAGATCATTTAGTGAGTTGGGCAAATAAATGGCAGATGGGTTATCATAATTTGAATTATAAGTATTATTTGGATGGGAATTAACCTTAACAGTGTTATGAAGGAAAGGGATCTTGGTGTAATTTTCCATTAGTCTCTAAAGTCATCCAAGCAGTGTGTCATTGCTAGTGGTAGGGCAAATAGGATTATAGGTTGTATCTACACAAATATTGAATACAAGTCTAAAGAGGTTATAATTTCATTGTACAGGTCACTGGTTATGCCACATTTGAAATATTGTGTTCAGTCTTGGACTCCTTACCTTAGAAAAGGATTCAGAGAAGGGTTACTAGAATGGTGCCTGGGATGGAGGGGTTGTCATACGAGGAGAGGTTGAAATCTCTCAAATTGTTTTCTCTTGAAAAGAAGAGGTGTTTAAGATTGTAAAGGGAATTGATAGTGTTGATGCATCATCTTTTTTCATATTTAAAAGTGAGAATAGGAGGACTAGGGAACACAAATATAAATTTGGACAGGGTAGGAGTCATCTTCGGCTAAGACAGTTTCATTTTTCTAACAGGGTGGTTGGCCTTTG